AGTTTATTTGTCAGTTGTTGGATGGCAGATGTGGTGGTTGGTAGGCTGTCATTGGGTTGTCAATAGTTTCTTGTGAGTGATGGTAGTTTATTTGTAAGTTGTTGGATGGCAGATGTGGTGGGTGGTAGGCTGTCATTGGGTTGTCAATAATTTCTTGTGAGTGATGGTAGTTTATTTGTAAGTTGTTGGATGGCAGATGTGGTGGGTGGTAGGCTGTCATTGGGTTGTCAATAGTTTCTTATGTGTGGTGGCTTGTCAGTAAGGCTGATAACCAATCAATGGTGCTATGAACTCCTCACAATAACAAAGCCTATGTTGACTATTATACCTTTCAGTACTCAGATGATTACTACATAGCTTCACTTATAGATGCTCTTGCAACGACTGTGACTCCCGGTGTCTGTATGACATCAACCACAAGGTCAGGCAAATAGAATAACTACAGACTTTAAAAAAATATCTTAGTCAAGTGTCATAGCAAAACATTGGGAAGTAAGGGTGTGGTGTACTTAATATACTTGGCATCTAAGTTGTCCATCTGTCCACTCATGCTGTACGTTCTGCCAGGAACTGCATTATTTAGAAATGGTGTTATTTATATGCGAAATATGACAGAAATAATGCATTTTTTACAATTTTGACGTATCCCTGAAATCACTTCGCATAGGACTCAAGTCTGAGCAGTTTGTTGAGTTTCGGAACCCAAATAGAAAACTCCTAATACAATCCCTGGTCTGTAACCATTGTTTTCATTGTTATGAACTGATAAAGACAATAGTTGGACTTACCTCAAGTCGACCTCTCTTGTCTGCTCTCTTTATTCAAGAGAAGTGAGAAAGCTACACAGGGGGAGGCGGACTTTTCGAAAGTCTTCACAATAGCCTACTGTCAATCTAATAAATCGTTAGAGTATTAATTATATTACCGTGAATCTTAAAGCCTTGACACTTGCAAATCGAGCAATCTGATTGGATAGATCGCATCGCGGTCTGGTCTAGATTCTCCGGTATTAACCGGTCCGATCGCATATTAATCTTACGGCGAAAACATTTTGTCCTGTTCAATGAAAAGTGGTCATATAATAAAACTCTTATTAACCGAGCTTGGTCGGTCTGTACATTCCGACCTTGGTCAAGATTATCCCGTACAGACCTCCCGCTCGGTTAATAAGATCTAAGTAAAGGTACATGTGAACCATGGGAAGATACATGGAAAATATTTACTATTTGATTGATGGTAGTCTATTGCCCATTAACCTGCCATCTTTCTTCTTGATCATTGCATAGTTGTAAAAACCGCAGGATAACTCTAATCTAATAATGTTTTTAAATATTTTTAGTACTGGTAAACTAGTTGTTAAACTAAAAGAAGAAACACAGCTTGTTCTTACTGAAGTAACACGAAGATTAAACCTAGAAAAGCTGCTGCCATCATATCGATATACAGTAACCGTCAGGTATATTGACTACTGCATAATAATCATTTATTGCAGCTAAGTCTCTACTGCACTGCGGTTTTCGTATGAGGGGGAAACGATATGGAAAATTGCAATTGGTAGCCATACCACATGATACTGTAGCTATAAACTATGCGTTGTGAAATTACTGGAAGGCGATGGTTGGTCATTTTATTGTTACATGTCTTACCTTGCATGTGTCTTACCATGTAAGACAGTACCATATGCTTTCTTTTTTATATGAAAACCAGTCTATAGTAAAAGCCCAGCTGCATCCTGGGGAATCATGGGTGGTGTAGCAGAGAAGTACACTCGCTTCTCACCTCTGAGGTCTCAGGTTTGGTTCCTGGACTCGGCATCTCGTGTCAATAGAGCTTGTTGGGTCTCTTCCTTGATTCAACAACTTCTATCAGCCCAGATCTGTAAGTTAGCTGTACCCTGTCTGTGATCCACCCAGAGATTGTTTTAGGGTATCGATATAATTTGATTTTTTTAATTTGTATCTTATTAGTTGTTTAAAGGCACTAAGGACTCTACAAGTCAATGGACAAGTCCCAGCTGACTCAAAAGTATTTGAATACTACTCAAGGTAAATTGCACATGTAACTACTTGTTTGGTGTTGCAGTAAAATGCTTATTAGATATTAAATGTTTCTTAAATAATAATAATAATAACAACAACAACAACGACAACAACAGCACAGCAACATCATTATCATCATCATTCATCATCATCATCAACATCATCCTCATCAGATCATCATCATTATTATCATCATTGTCATCATCATCATTATCATCATCATCACCATCATTGCCATCATCATCATCATTATTATCATCATTGTTTTTATTAATTATGTAATTAGTATAACCTGAAATGTGTTTACAGTTATGGTCATTATGAAGATGTAAGAAAGAGTGCCATTGATTGCCTTGTGGAATCTGCAAAAGGTGAGAAAACCATGATCAAAGTTGATACTAATAAGTGAGACTAATATCATTGGTGGTGTGCATCCCTTCCCATGAGATTAAAAGGACAAGAGATGTGGCCGTCATGTTGCTTAGCATCCAGCTGAGTTGACCTTCACAACAAATTCAAGGTCATTCAATCATAATTGAGGAATCGTCATTGTATTTTGATTAGCATTTCCCATGATTCTGTCAAGAGAAACCATGAAATACAATTTCTTCATCCTTTAAATTGATCGTAAATGCTAGTCGAAATCAAGGCAGAATTCCATTTCAATCGCTTGACAAGAGAAATCTACACTGCACTTAGTTCCTGCTCAGAAAATTCCAAACAGAAAAATTTGACCCATAATTCCTTTCGGGGACACAGTCAACTCAGCTGGTTGTCAAAAGACACCACGATCAATTCTTTTGTCAAAGTCAACTAAAATGGTGGCTTCGGCATCACATGTACCCCTCCCTGCTAGCAGAGCCTATTTTCCTTTTGTTTTGGTGGAGTGAGAAAAATAAATTGCCGATGTAGGATGTTATACTTGTCGCTGCATGATTTTGACAGCCGCTCTCGTCAAACAACGTTTGGCGCCACGGTATGTTACATTTGCTCATGCGCACTACATGTACATGGTTAAAAACCGGCGGTGTATCAAAGGAAACGCTCTACATCGGCAGAGTCTCCTTCCTCCCCGTCTGAAAGAAGGGAGAGAAAGAGAAGATAGACTCTGCTAGCAGGGAACACGTACGCCAACAATACAGACAGTTTGTATTTTCAAAAATAATTAAAAAATCTATTCCTTTATTTATAGCGTGATTATGCTTTTTTTTTCAGTGGAGAGAAGTGAGCAAGTTCTCAGTTCTCTTTTGAATCTTGCTGAGAAGGACCCTTGTCCATTTATAAGGTAATACTCCAGTTTCGAGTTCTCTGTTGCTCAGTGTTAGCCTTGATGTTGTGTAGAATAATTATGTATACAAGTGAAGGTCCGTGGAATTTCAAAATGTTTCTATTGTTGAAGTTGTGTATTATTTTCTTTACTCTTGGTATTTGTGAATATTTTGACAATAAAAGAGGCATACCACGGCTGTATTTTGCGAATACTCCTTTAAACAGTTTCGTTCAGTGACCACGAATAATAGTCCCAAGTCGAGGCTAGAGTTTCCACACACAGCAAAACTATAGGCTCCAACCTCGACTTGGAACTATTATTTGTGGTCACTGAACGGAACTGTAAAAAGGAATATTCAAACAAGTACTATATATTCATCATAACAATATAAGACAAAGTTCAGTCTAAGCTAAAAATATCCACTAGAAAAAGTACTATTTTTATTGACTTCGCCATAGGAAGATTATGTCTTTTTTAGTCTTTTTTTTAGTACGTGTAGTTTTTTAGTTGCTGAATATCTAATTATAAGATCTTTATTCCAGACACTATATATTACGAAGTTTAGCCGAAAACCCTCCCTTCACTAGGAAAACAGAATCACCTCTGTGTACTGTAAGTGTGGTGGAAAAACTATGGCAGCTCATGAAGTAAGTAAGAGGATCAATGGTTGTGTAGCATTAGTGCACTCGCTCATCTCTGGGGGTTTGATTCCTGGACCACGTGAGTAGAGTTTCTTTAAGTCTCTACTGACTTACAGGACGTACACTGTACAATATGTATAACGCTGAAATAGCTTCCAATAAAAATGGTTATCTTATGAGTGGGAAACATACGGTGCTGACGTACAGCAAGTACACGGTACTAGATGCCGTAACACTGAAATGGCTTCCCATAGGAATGGTTATCGTATGAGTGGGAAACGCATGGTACTGACTTACAGCATGTACGCGGTACGACATG